GATGCATAATATCTAAGTGGCAGTCTTGTTAATAAAATAAATATAAGTGTGCCCAACCGTGAAGGAGTTGCACCTGTATCCAACTATCAATACACCCAATCTCATCAACATCAGATCTTGTAATCTGATACCATACCTCTGTTTGAAGACCAGACAACACCATTGGTTGTGTCAGGTCAATCTGTTAGATGTGTTGAGGCATCTAAATCCTCAGTACAAGTGAAAGAAGCATTCAGATAAACATATCTGATTTCTGTATCTCGAAAATAAAGTTAACCATCCAGTGCCAAATGTAAATAATAAAGAGCCATTATCTCTGATTGGTCAGATGAAATGTCATTCTGACGAGACCGGTCATGGGATGGCCTCAGATCTTTGTTTTGCGGTGGTAAGAACTAAAATCTGATTTTAATGAGATTGTCATTTAAAGGGATGTTTATATATCACAAATGACCAGAGTAACTTAAAAACGCAAATAAAAATATTCATAATAAAAATCCTTAAATATTAAAATTAATGCTTCTTCCTAAAACAGCCCCAGTGGCAGTGCAGTGATGTCAGAGGCTTCAAAATCAGAAGATTCGAACCATCCTGGGGGGTAACAGTTTATACATTCTTTGATTTCAAACTAAGTCTTGAACTGTAAGAAATTATTACATAAAGAATCTCAACATGGCGACATGAGTAAAAGGCAGGTATATTCAACACTCATGTAAGTGAAAGGAGACAAAGAGACAGATACTCCTACTAAATACTGGTAAAACAAAGGAAACCATGGCAACGGTGCTTGAAGCGAGTCATAATGTCAGGTAACAGCGGTGTCAAGGCTGATTTGCAGTTTAGTTGTATGGTGATGATATTGCTTAAGTTTGATAAACTGCTTGTTTGTTTGTGTGTTTTTTTAAGTCTGTAAGGGCTGTAGGGTGGGCGATTTAACTGTGCAGCCCAGACTTAGCCCCCAGTGACTTTTTCCTGTACCGGCAAATGAAATCTGCCCTACATGGAAGACGCTTCCAGGATGACGAGAGATTCTGCGACTTGGTCTTATATTGAAGTTGCAAAACTTATTGAACACCCCTCATACCTAAAACTGTACTATTTTCTTTATCCAAATATGGATTTTGTTTTTGATTATTTTTTTTATCAAATATTGTTCATAACTTATCAATGTATATTTATCATGCCATGTCAATTAGAAATCAATCTGGGTGCACAGCCTCTCCACGTATACATTGTAATACATGTTCTATGGGAATCTGACCTTTCAGTTTTGAGAAACAAACTACAATAGTCTCCCCTGGACATCTAAGAGTGAACTACACACACTAATCTCACTGTGATGCCTCCTTTAATCAGGTCCTGACACTGATGACACGAAAGCAATTATTCTAATAACTGAGTATATCACGTAAAACATCAAAATATCTAGAATAGGATGCTATACATGCCATGCTATATATCTGGAGACGCCATTATGCCTCTATGTCAGAGCATAACAACTGTCCCACATAACCATGAGTTAACAATCATACTCGGCCAACATATACAAAGTGTTTTGTTCGACATTATGCTTTTATGTAGCTTTCATATCAGAATGGTATAACTTGCGTAACAAAATAACAAGTAACATTTGTATGATCTTAATAACAAAAAAGAAAACTGTACACCACCAATGAAACTAAATTAAACAACTCAAAATAGTGTAAGACTATCTGCTTCTTTCTTATTACTATAGTTAATCTGCCATGGCATGGCAGAATTACTATAGTGCAGTAAACTACGTTTACAACAACCAAGCTTATAACAAACTGACGGATATAGCAAACAGTTTTTGTTTTTGCTTGTTTAACGCCGCACTCAGCAATATTCCAGTTATATGACGATGGTCTTCATATATAACCAAGTCTGGATCAGACAATCCAGTGATTGATATCATGAGCATCGATCTACGCAATTGGGATATGATGACATGCGTCAACCAAGTCAGCGATATTCCAGCTACATGACGGCAGTCTGTATATAATCGAGTCTGGACCAGACAATCCAGTGATTGACATCATGAGCATCGATCCACACAATTGGGATATGATGACATGCATCAACCAAGTCAGCGAATCTGACCACCCACTATCCCTTTAGTCGCCTCTTACAACAAGCATAGTCGCCCTTTATGTCAAGCATGGGTTGCTGAAGACCTATTCTACCCAGGATCTTCATGGATATGTTGCCGGCCATATGCTGTATATATGCTGTATAAGTGCTTATAACGAACCAATGTTATAACAAACTAACATTAGTGGTCCCTTTGAGTTTGTTATAACCGTTGTTTACTGTATATGAAAGTATCAGAAGGATCTTAACTTTTTTGAGTAGTATACATCTTGACAATACAATCTTCTACTTGCATATAATATACATAGCTATGTATATATAAGTATCTATATAATACATCCAATCTCAGCAAAGAGATAGTTCTCGGTACCACTAGACAAAGATCTGAGGACATCCCATTACGGGTCACGTCAGAACGGCATTTCATCCGACCATTCAGAGTGCCGCTTACCAGATCAGGAAAATGACGGTCGGAATGTGTTTTCTAATCATGCAACCTAAAAAAAGGTTAACACAGGGTATTCCAGAATAATATGGGCATTACAACTGAATGTCAAAATCATCGTCTATCTCTCACTTCAATATGGGATAAACATTTCTACGGACTTGGATTATCCCATGGGAACTACTGCCATAAAATGTAGGTCATCTTTTAGACATTCCAGAATGTTATTTTGTTCAGTGTTCAAATTTTGAATCGAGAACTTCGTCAAAATATTTTTCAAAGCGTAGTCTGGAATGAGTGAGTGAGTTGGGTTTAACGCCGCTTTTAACAGTATTCCAGTTATATCGCGGCGTGTCAGCTTAATGTGGGAGGAAAGCCCGAAGTGATGCAGGTCTCAGACGTTTACCACTTCGGTGAAACCCACGAGCACGGGTATGGTGCTGACAAACCTAGAAACATAATCGGGGTGAACCGAGTCTGGAATGGAATTCGAAGTTGCCAATTTGAAAATCGTGTCGTTTTGCTCGAGAAAGCTGCTGTCTGATTGGCTAGTGTCGACTTCTGGTTGAGTCATTTCATTGGTTGGTCAACGTTTGCGAATGGTCGTGACCTGTAATGGGATGTCCTCAGATCTTTTTCGCAGTAGCGAGCACTAAGGTCTGATTTTTTTAGACTGACAATACACCTGTATGTACAATGACAAACATATGACCCGAATGCATAGTCTAATTACAAGAATACAGACATGAACATGCAATTGTTCATCATGGAATGAGTTACTTTAGACCCTGTAAACTATTTTCCCCTTAATAAGTGGTAACAATAAACAAAAGTCAGGAGTTATCTCCCTTGTAATATCAAAATTTCCAGAGTCCATTGTTTGAGCTGATGAATGTTGATGGATTTATCATATATTTCGATATGTTATCACGAAAAGAGACAGATAACATGTCTGAGGGCAGTGGCATCACTTTGGATGAAGGAATGAAACAAAACTGAAAAAATTAGTATATTTCATATGCCAATTAGGATATTCACCCTGTATATCTAATATAATACCAACAGGAAGAATATCATTGGTATATCACTGTATATAACACAAACACAATAATTTTCAAACACCGAATATTTCTTGAGAATCAATCTCGTATTTCTTTTTACAAAATACAAACTCAACCTTCTTCCCCTAATATTCTATCAGATCTGATTCTGGATAAATTGATACCTTAATACCTCACTCACAAATGTTTTTTAAACAGCAATGGAGATTCAAAATACACATATGTTTACAAAAGAATCACAACAGTTTGATTCGTAGAAGGATATATGTCTTATCTCCATCACATTCCAAATTCTTAAAAATTAAAAAGTGGTTCTCAACTGAAACAAAACAAACTTGGATAAAGTGGTTCTTAAAAGGTAAAAAATTATTTCATAAGTAATTATTACCAATAATAAACTTAAAAAGCACGAAAGATTTTTTAACAAGAAACAAGAACATTTTTAACATGAAAGCAAAATAACAAAACTGATATATAAACTCAAAAAGAATCAACACAAAAAAGTACAATCCTTTGAGGGTCAATTTTAACATTCGAACAATATTATTACAAGATCATTGTCACACACACAGAGATTTAAACCCTCTTGAACCAGTGTGAATGTTCACAAGCACCATAACAGGAAATCCCCAGTCATTGCAGCCTCATGCATTAACGAACACATTCAGTTATTCCACAAAAACCTTGACATGACACCATAGAGAGCATAAATAGATATTACACAACAGAAATATCTATCATTTTGTTCGGCTAGAAAGCAATCAAATGACTGTCTACAGAAACACATAAATACATCTGTGTATGATATAAACGAAAGTTACTAAAAATAGCACGAGAATCCCATAGATGGTATTCCCAAATCCCAGCCAGTCAGATTTACGTATCTTGTTGGTAGCCTATTTAGTGTGAAAAAAAACCCAGAACTCTTCAGTTGGGTAATACAAACGTGTAAAACAATCTACAGCGACTACAGTTCTATATATTATTCTGTAGACACAAGATGTTACCCAAGACAGGCCAGAGAGTGTTGCCATTCAACCTCGGCATGACAAAACAGGGTGAAAATAAGGTACCATATTCACCGCAATTAGTGCTCTGGGTACTTAGAAAATTTATAAAAAGGGGCGGTTAGGCTTAAAAAAAATAAAAGAATTGGTTCTCTAACAATGTTTTTTGAAAATATGGTGTGGGCATGCGGAGACTTTTTATGTGTTTTTGTTGTTGTTCAAACTAGTATATATATGATGAGCAATATCACGGCGGGGGACACCAGAAATGGGCTTCACACATTGTACCCATGTCGGGAATCGAACCCGGGTCTTCGGCATGACGAGCGAACGCTTTAACCACTAGGCTACCCGACCGCCCCCAATCTGGGAAAGGGCCTCCCTACATAAATGTATGCCTTGATGAGTAAAATATGGAAACAAAAAACGAAACCTGTGGCAAATTTTATGATGATGCAGGCAGTGCCTGAGAACCAAGACTATTATTTTTTTAGCCTTATAAAAATTCTACAATTTGCTAAACTTGTAAAAAATCGAGTGGCAGCAAACAAACTTAGTTCAAACGTCGATGAAACAAAAATGTTTTTGATGATAGATACAAGGCAATTATATTCACCTCCTACAATGCTGTTTTCTGTACGACATATGTAAATGTAAATGTTCAGTCTTAGTAGGGCAACTTACAACAGCGATAATTGGGGAACCACCATTTGACATTCTGGGAGGAGGCCCAGGACACAATCGAAAAACATATATTGTCTTATAAAATGATTCAAAAACAAATTATGCTTCAGACATTTCAACGAAAGAGCATGTCCAGTGAAAAAGTACCTTCTATTTAAATACCAAAATGTATTTTCAAACATTTTCTGGACCAAATTATTTTTTTGAAAAAAAACTCGGGGGACCCCAAGAATATTAAATGTTCAGTTCCTAAGCATTCACAGACATTGTCCTATTTGGTGACATAAATATTAATGTTGCTCTCATGGTTATCAGCATGCGGAAAACAAGTGCAACTTCGAGACTTAATATATTGCCACGCCCCTTCATACAATGCATAGTCTCTTTGTTAATGAGTCTAAATTAGTCAAGTACCTCATTACTGAGGAGCCTAACTTGTCCATTAGCCTGTTAATCCATACTAGTTACTTCCAGGAAACTACGACCATCAATTCGGAGACTACTAGGACGCTAATGCTTAATCTTCTTTCAGTTCTTCTCGTGCTGCGTAGAACAGTTTCTGGGTAAACCTTGTAGTCGTATCTGCAACACAGGATAACATAAAATATTAAAATCTGTTCAAGCGCATGAAGGGCGGGGACGATACACCAACTGTGCAATCCGATATGTATCACGATACGATACGTATCATGATACTTGCATGTGCTCTTAGTGTAAGCCATATTTTCATAGACAGGATCATTCGTCACCACTGGCCCCTTTCCGTAGCCTGCAAAAAGACTCGTCCCCCTATCGATGAATGTTATGTGGGAAAATACAACCAATCAGAATGCGCGTATGATTTCAAGTTCTTCGTCAAAGAATCCCTCAGAAATATTTTTTGATTTTACATATGTCTTGCATCTAAAAATATACCGCATGTCTCGATGTGCTTTAAATTACATCTGAAATATATATAATATATGGGGAAATAAATGTGAACCATTACGCAACGAGTTGACATTGTTTTAGGTATGCCCGTCCGCGCAACGACGGAATCCGGTCGCAAAAATGGCCATGAGAGGGGCACGAGTCGCTATTCGGCTTGTCCCGGAATAACACGAGTTGGTCACGAATGAGACAGGATAGCCAAATACCTGGCACACTGACAATTTACAGTTGGCAGTGTCAAGTGAGTGAGTGAGTATGGTTTTACGCCGTTTTTAGCAATATTCCAGCAATATCACGGCGGGGGACACCAGAAATGGGCTTCACACATTGTACCCATGTCGGGAATCGAACCCGGGTCTTCGGCGTGACGAGCGAACGCTTTAACCACTTGGCTACCCGACCGCCCGGCAGTGTCAAGTGTGGTACAATGGATTGAATTACTTAGGTTTTCACGACTAATCAGAGTTTGGTGTAACAGTTTTTACAGAAAACATTTAAGGTATGTATCGATATTTGTACCTAGTGTACCTCTGTGATTGATACTTGTATCGAGAAGTAACAAATCACAATCAGTGTGTCATCCCACCGCCGTGCACAATGCACATATATTTTGATTTACACAAACTATTCATATATACAGGACTTGGAGACAAAGGGTCAAATTGTACCTACTTAGCACAGAAATGTGTCACTAATAATTGATACACCAGACAACGGGTCAGACTGTACCTACTCAGTAAAGTAACGATTGCTTGTGTGACATATTATTGATACACCAGACAACAGGTCAGACTGTATCTACTCAGTAAAGTAATGATTGCTTGTGTAACATATTATTGATACACCAGACAACGGGTCAGACTGTACCTACTTAGTAAAGTAACGATTGCTTGTGTGACATATTATTGATACACCAGACAACAGGTCAGACTGTATCTACTCAGTAAAGTAACGATTGCTTGTGTGACATATTATTGATACACCAGACAACGGGTTAAATTGTACCTACTCAGTAAAGTAACGACTGCTTGTGTGACATATTATTGATACACCAGACAACGGGTCAGACTGTACCTACTCAGTAAAGTAACGATTGCTTGTGTGACATATTATTGATACACCAGACAACGGGTCAAATTGTACCTACTCAGTAAAGTAACATATTATTGATACACCAGACAACGGGTCAAATTGTACCTACTCAGTAAAGTAACATATTATTGATACACCAGACAACGGGTCAAATTGTACCTACTCAGTAAAGTAACATATTATTGATACACCAGACAACGGGTCAAATTGTACCTACTCAGTAAAGTAACATATTATTGATACACCAGACAACGGGTCAAATTGTACCTACTCAGCAACTTATGGATTGCCCTTGGTTTCTTCTTCCACATGACCCCCAGGAAGTAGACGGGGATCCCGGTGGCGATCATGACGAGGCCCATGAGACACTCCATGGGACTGGACGTCAACGGCGTGATCAGCAGGAACAGACAGATCACCAGGAAGAACACCGGGAAGAAGATGTTCACCTGTAGCCATGACAACCAGGATGAGTGAGGGAGATACTTAACTATACTGAGGAGTATCATGGAGGCACAAACTTAAAAGATGGTGTACACTCTGCATAAATCCATGCAAAGTTTTCAGTTTTTACAGTAACAACTCAATAAACACAAAATTTAAATATGTCAACAATAACTGCAAAAGATACCAACTGTTTTAACATAACATACAGCAAAACCCTGAAAAATGGCACATTTCTACTAGTCCTTATAATACCTTAACTACTGGGCAGTTTGGCTAGTTGGTCAGTTGGTTTGTTGTTTAACGCTGCACTCAGCAATATTCCACCTATATGACGGAGGTAATAATCGAGTCTTGACCAGATAATCCAGTGATTAATATCATGAGCATTGATCCACACAATTGGGATCAATAACATGCATCAACCAAGTCAGTGAGCCTGACCATCCGATCCCGTTAGTCACCTCTTGTGACAAGCATAGTCGCCTTTTTCGGCAAGCATGGGTTGCTGAAGACCTATCCTTCCCCGGATCTTCACTGGTCCATAGGACTAGTGCCAATTTCTAATATAAGGGTAATGCTATTTTTCAGGGCATTATCATTTGCAGAAGACCAAGGCAGGGTAACAACAAGTTCCACCTTTTAACGTCTTTTGGTATGACGCGGCCGGGGATCAAACCCCAGACCTTTCGCTTCCCGGGCAGACGATCTCCAACTAGACCACGGAGGTGGTCCCATAACATTTAAAGGGTTGGAACAGAAACAATTATCTTAAAGCAAAGTTATCAAAAACACAAGACCTACAATCAATAACACTCCCCAAGTGGAGAAGTTTCACGAATAACTTTGGCTTCACAGCGACGCCTTACCTTGATTGGACGTTCCATATTTGGACGGGTATATCTGAGAAACAGCAGGCCAGCCACAGAGAGCGCGATGAAGAGTGACTCCACGAACGACCCGTAGTTGATTAAAGCGTACACATCATTGCTGCACAGCATCACCAGGGACATGATGCACTGAAACACATGATCAACCCCATGACATCAGAATACTCAGTCATGTGAACCTTGTCTGCAGCAGTGGAACATGGGGCAGTGGAGGTCCTAGTGGTCAAAGAGGTCTAGGGTCAGCGCAAACAAACACCTGCCTTAGATCCTACATCGGTACAATGTGTGAAGCATTGGCTTGTTACACCAAACACCTGCCTTAGATCCTACATCGGTACAATGTGTGAAGAATTGGCTTGTTACACCAAACACCTGCCTTAGATCCTACATGAGTGCAATGTGTGAAGCATTGGCTTGTTACACCAAACACCTGCCTTAGATCCTACATTGGTGCAATGTGTGAAGCATTGGCTTGTTACACCAAACACCTGCCTTAGATCCTACATGAGTGCAATGTGTGAAGCATTGGCTTGTTACACCAAACACCTGCCTTAGATCCTACACGGGTGCAATGTGTGAAGCATTGGCTTGTTACACCAAACACATGCCTTAGATCCTACACGGGTGCAATGTGTGAAGCATTGGCTTGTTACACCAAACACCTGCCTTAGATCCTACATCGGTACAATGTGTGAAGCATTGGCTTGTCATCAAACACCTGTCTTAGATACTACACGGGTAAAATGTGTGAAGCATTGGCTTGTTACACCGAACACCTGCCTTAGATCCTACATCGGTACAATGTGTGAAGCATTGGCTTGTCATCAAACACCTGGCTCAGATCCTACATGGGTACAATGTGTGAAGCATTGGCTTGTCATCAAACACCTGGCTCAGATCCTACATGGGTACAATGTGTGAAGCATTGGCTTGTCATCAAACACCTGGCTCAGATCCTACATGGGTACAATGTGTGAAGCATTGGCTTGTTACACCAAACACCTGCCTTAGATCCTACATCGGTACAATTTGTGAAGAATTGGCTTGTTACACCAAACACCTGCCTTAGATCCTACATCGGTATAATGTGTGAAGCATTGGCTTGTTACACCAAACACCTGCCTTAGATTCTACATCGGTACAATGTGTGAAGAATTGGCTTGTTACACCAAACACCTGCCTTAGATCCTACATCGGTACAATGTGTGAAGCATTGGCTTGTCATCAAACACCTGCCTTAGATCCTACATCGGTACAATGTGTGAAGCATTGGCTTGTTACACCAAACACCTGGTTAGGGACCAGTACAAAAGTTCGATGTCAGATAAAAACCTTATTCAGCTTTGGAGGCAGGTGGCCCATTGAATGATGGACAGTGATGCAGACATGGAATTTACAGATTGTATACGAGGTCTATATTAAAAGCGGGAGACATATTAAAAATACATATTTTTAATGTTTAATATATTTCTTAGACTGGCTGCTTTTCAGTAGGGGCAGAGGCTCGGGAAACAAAAAATGAAAAATGTGTGGCCTTTGTTACATCAGAAGAGTGAATGTTGGATAACACTAATTGTACATGGTCGTGAAATATATTAATAGTTTTGTTTCTTTGTTGTTTATATCTTCCAGCTATATGATGGCAGTCTGTAAATACTGTATTTTCTTGAGTATAGTGCGCACTTTTTTTCCCAAAAAACACAGCTGTGTAGAAGGGGGTATGCATTATACACGAATTAATGAGTTTTGATGTTTTTTCCCCCATGGAAAGACATTACTGTGAGCACGTAACACCGGAAATACCATGTCAACAAATCCATACTGAAGTTCGCAAATTATTCATGTAATTACACTGTCTGGCTATAAAAAGTGTTCTTTGTATATCTGGACTTATGTTTGTAACTTATTTCATTTATTTATTCAAAATTCCTTTTACTGTTGTTTTAATTAATTTCGGCGAAATCGTGTGTGAAGCAATCGGAAGATTGCACAACTCACCGTTATTAACAGCAACCACGGTCAGATTACTGCTATTGACGCCTTGAAATGAACTTTAGTTGACAGAGAATGGATACATATATCATAAATGCCATACTTTGAATCGTTAAAAGTCAAATTTGTTGTTGTTGGACGATTCTATGTCAACACATAATTCTCGCGATCACGCGATCACGTGCACGTGAGCCTTGACGGGGAATGGTCAGACTGGTTCCATGTAAAAAATAATACCTGGCAATAGCGATCAGCTGCTTCGCTTAGGGTTATTATTATTTTAAATATGTCTAGTAAAAGCTGCATCTAAATTAACAAGATATTGGAATATTATTCCTGATAAAAAAAGTTTCAGATACAACATTTGCCGATCCTTGCATTAAAATACTGTAAAGTTATATCATTGGGTGTGTCTTGACCGAATCACCGGTAGATTCCAAGAAAACGTGTGTACAGCTAAATCAACATGTCTGGTGATTTTTTATCTCAAATTTCGAATTTGTACTGACAAAGTTTCTCATCACCCGTTCGTTTGCCGGACTTCGCTGAAGGGGTACGGTGTAATTTTTTTCCGCGCATAATATTCAAATTTCTTTTTTTCCAAAACATTGAATCCGCTAGAGGGGGGTGCGCATTATACATGGGTGCGCACTATACTCAAGAAAATACGGCACTAAAATTTGGTCCAGACACTCCAGAGATTGATATTGTGAGTAACGCTCCATGTGTGTACAATGACACGCTATCATCCAAGTCACCAAGTCTGACCATTACTCCAGAGGTCAAATCTCACAACCAGCCTAGGTTGGACCACTTCAAATCTAGAATCCCCAGGAGAAAGACATATTGATATTTCTGGATCACTCACCCCAAACAACAATGAAGGCAATGGTGTCATCGTCTTCAGACTAATGGTTGCTAGGAAACCAGGCAGATGACCTTGACGTGCTCCCACAAAAAATAACCTGGAAGAAGTACACACATACCATGTCATTATCTGTCATAAACATGCAAAGTAAATATTTACCCAAATGCAAAATAACCAACCCCCAGGTACATGGAATGCTGCACACATACTTAACCCCTGAAGATCTTATATGACACACTACAAAATATTACATGATTAAACTTCATTTGAAGATTACGTCGGGCGAGTGGCGAGAAAGTTCTGCTTACCTAGAAGATGTGAAGATTGCACCATTGAGACCACCAAATGTGGAGCAAGCCACAAAAACAGGCATAACCCAAGCCATCACTCCTAGAGTACGATTTGCAAAAGTCTGAAACACAAACAAAGATAAATAGCATTAAAAAATATGATAGATGTGCTGTCAAGTGAATATTGTTGAGGATCCTCCTTTCCCAGAAAAAGATATAGATTATTCACTTGGAGTATAAATTGAACTATCAATGTATTGCCATTGTTAACCCTACAATAAAACTAAATCGTAAGAAAATAAAAACTACCAATAGTATTGTTGATAGTATGCATAACAATCGATAGTTGCAATTAGTTATTAATAAAACAAATTAAGCAAATTTCAAACCTGCCTGTGTATTGATTTGCCAGGACTATGACAATTTCAGACTAGAGTTACTTCCCTTTGATTTGAGTAGGAACAGGGACAAAAATGGCTAACTTTGACATTGTTGGCAATACTTTAGCCATTTCTGTAACATTGATTAATATAATTATCAGTCCTTTAGTTGATGTACTAGTATCTTAGTACTCTTAGTACTATTGCAACAGTTGACAAGTATCACAATACTATTGCAATATTGTGGACTACAAAGGACAAATAGTCACCCCTATTGTTCACAAGGTGATACTCTTCATTTCTTTATAAAGTAGTTCCAGGTTGTAACAATTAAATAAAAATTAGCTTAAGTACTGAAATTGAAATTATGCCTGTACTTTTCTTTTTTTCAAACAATTTTGTTTCTATTGGACCATTATGAAGTCAGCAAAACAATCAGTTTGAAACCACCAAGTCAGTCCAAATTCCACAGCAGTAAATATTCATGTTTCCCCTGCCTGCTGAGTTCATTTTCTAACACATTTTTAGTTCTGAGACGTGAATGTTTAGCGAAATGCAGCACAGGCCTTACCATGGTCAAGTATGGAGTTGCAGTATGCACCTCTTAGAAATGTAAAATGTAAAATGTGACCCTGTAGGTTATACTTGAAGCACTGCGAAAGTCATAACTCCCTTGGTTAACATACAACAAAGACAGTTGTAGCATGAAAATCACTTGGAGAAACAAGCATTGATTCTTTTCCCATGATGACTTACAACAGCTACTGCATCCGATTCTAACATTTCAGCAGGCGTCATCACGGAGAAGTATGCCACGTTTGCCATCAGGTAAATCACTGTCACCATGGGCATCGAGATCCAGATCGCACGCGGTAAATTTCTGAAAGAAAAAAACATGCAAATATTCAAATCTGCCACACACAAAAATACACGTAATACAAACAAACATTTTATATACTATGGGGCAAAACAAAGTTGTTTTTTGTTCTTTTATGTCATTGAAAATTGATAGAACTGAAAATTTTGTTGGGGTGAAACAATGAATGAGTACTGAGTTCAGGTAATTAATTTTAGCAGGTCTATCAGAAATTATGCATCGTGTATCATATCATGAGTGAGTGAGTATGGTTTTACGCCGCTTTTAGCAATATTCCAGCAATATCACGGCGGGGGACACCAGAAATGTTCAAATTTGCCACACACAAAAATACACGTAATACGAACAGACATTTTTTATACTATGGGGCAAAACAAAGAAGTTTTTTGTTTTTTATGTCATTGCAAATTGATAGAACTGTTGCAAATTTTGTAGGGGTGAAACAATGAATGAGTAGTGAGTTCAGGTAATTAATTTTAGCAGGTCTATCAGAAATTATGCATCGTGTATCATATCATGAGTGAGTGAGTATGGTTTTACGCTGCTTTTAGCAATATTCCAGCAATATCACGGCGGGGGACACCAGAAATGGGCTTCACACATTGTACCCATGTCGGGCATCGAACCCAGGTCTTCGGCGTGACAAGCGAACGCTTTAATCACTAGGCTACCCGACCGCCCTTATCATATCAAGACAACTCATAAAGTATCAGCCACTACAAAACGTTTCTGGGTGCACCTGCCAAATGGTTTGAGTAACGATGCGGTGTATTGTTTGAGTCATTTGAAAGACATTGTTGGGGTCATTCAAATGTTAATGTGACGGAAGGTCGGAATGACATCACACTATAGAAATGATGTAATAGCTGAAGAATGTTGACGTCTTTCGACAAATTGTGGTTTTCTAGGACAGCGGTGGTGATAAAAGCATGTTTCTAAAGGAGAACTCAAGGATTACGAAATAATGGGCAATAAAGAAATCATGACACTAAAATGTGCATCTTACTGATTTTACGAAACTCGTGTAAGAATTCATGTATTACCTCACTCTCGCTCAGGAACTTCTGACACTCGTTTCGTTATATCAGTATGACACACATGTTCACATGATAATCTCTATTACCGTATTCGACATAATAAGCGCCTAGGGCGCTCTCAAAATTAGAAATAGGGGGCTCTTATTAGAATATTATTTTGGTGGAAAAAACAGAGTTGAAAGATTAATTTCGTGGTTTATGCTGACAGCCTGAAATGTTTATATGTATACGACAGATATGTTTTTTCAGAATTTAATTGCCCATAATTAAGGGTGTATATAACACACAAATGCGTATTATAAGCGAATAAATAAGTCTTGTGTACATTGATCAATCGGAAGGGGTGCTAATTGGAATTGTTCACTAGCCAATATATGAGCAATTATCGCCTTGGGCGCTTATTAGAGCGGGGCGCTTATTACGTCGAATACGGTATGTGAAATTTGTTTAATAAAATTCAAAAGTTTCAAAATGATATTGTACTTTCAAAAATAAACCTTGGAAGTATTCTTTGAGTGCTGACAAAGTGCCAGCAACTCGATTTGTTTTCTATAATATTGCTAACTTAAATGCGATGCACATGTTGCTATACTCTTGGCTCTTCGGTACTGGTGACATGCTTGATAACAGCCAGCCTGTTCAACATGGCAGCGAGGTCCATGGTTGGGGGGGCAGTCAGTACAACTTTAGCCTTCCAACTGTTTGCCGACAGCTATTGTTACAGTCATTCTGATGACAGGGTAATCATCTTGTCACAAAACAAGGCCTGTACATAAAGAGGGAATTGCAGATTGGGACAAATACTCAGAATGGGTATCTACAATAAACAGAGGCCAGAGTACTCAGAGTTTAAAAAATGATGTTTTAACTATGTTTTGCTGGGACTGGAAATACATGCCGGTTCATATACCAACTCCACTGTAACCACCTCTGGATGTATTGATGGGTAACATCCTTGGTCCACCATGGATGAATTGATAGGGTAACATTCTAGGGCCACCATAGAGGTATTTGTAGGGTAACATCCTAGGGCCACCATAGAGGTATTGGTAGGGTAACATCCTAGGGCTACCATGGAGGTGTTGGTAGGGTAACATCCTAGGGCCACCATGGAGGTGTTGGTAGGGTAACATCCTAGGGCCACCATGGAGGTATTGGTAGGGTAACATCCTTGGTCCACAATGAATGAATTGATAGGGTAACATTCTAGGGCCACCATAGAGGTATTGGAAGGGTAACATCCTAGGGCCACCATAGAGGTATTGGTAGGGTAACATCCTAGGTGAGGTGAGGTGAAATTGGGTTTAACGTTGCGTCCAAGATTATTGCACTTATATAGCGACGTGCATGTACGAGTATGTGTTTGTGTGGCTGCTTGTTCTAGTCCGGACTGATGCCGATTTATAGTGCTAGCTCTCTGAGATACCACGCCGCAGTTTAACATGAATACCCCACTCAGACACAGTATACTGACTCCGAGCCGACCAGTCCTTGTTTTAGCCCCTTAATGCCGAGCCCCAGACAGGGTAACATTAAGTACCATCTTTTAACGTCTTTTGGTATGACGCGGCCTGGGATCGAACCCCGGACCTTCCGCTCTCCGGGCGGACGCTCTACCACAGGACCACGGAGGCGGTCGTAACATCCTAGGGCCACCATGGAGGTGTTGGTAGGGTAACATTCTAGGGCCACCATGGAGGTGTTGGTAGGTTAACATCCTAGGGCCACCATGGAGGTGTTGGTAGGGTAACAATCTAGGGCCACCATGGAGGTGTTGGTAGGGTAACATTCTAGGGCAACCATGGAGGTGTTGGTAGGGTAACATCCTTGGTCCACCATGGATGAATTGATAGGGTAACATTCTAGGGCCACCATAGAGGTATTTGTAGGGTAACATCCTAGGGCCACCATAGAGGTATTGGTAGGGTAACATCCTAGGGCTACCATGGAGGTGTTGGTAGGGTAACATCCTAGGGCCACCTTGGAGGTATTGGTAGGGTAACATTCTAGGGCCACCATGGAGGTATTGGCAGGGTAACATTCTAGGGCCACCTTGGAGACATTGGTAGGATAACATTCTAGGGCCACCATGGAGGTATTGGTAGGGTAACATTAGATCTAGGGCCACCATGGAGGTGTTGGTAGGGTAACATTCTAGGGCCACCATGGAGGTATTGGTAGGGTAACATTCTAAGGCCACCATGGAGGTGTTGGTAAGGTAACATTCTAGGGCCACCATGGAGGTATTGGTAGGGTAACATTCTAGGGCCACCATAGAGGTGTTGGTAGGGTAACATTCTAGGGCCACCATGGAGGTGTTGGTAGGGTAACATTCTAGGGCCACCATGGAGGTTTTGGTAGGGTAACATTCTAGGGCCACCTTGGAGGTGTTGGTAGGGTAACATTCTAGGGCCACCATGGAGGTATTGGTAGGGTAACATTCTAGGGCCACCTTGTAGGTATTGGTAGGGTAACATTCTAGGGCCACCATGGAGGCATTAGTAGGGTAACATCCTAGGTCCACCAAAGAGGTATTGGTAGGGTAACATTCTAGGGCCACCATAGAGGTATTGGTAGGGTAACATTCTAGGGCCACCATGGAGGCATTGGTAGGGTAACATTCTAGGGCCACCATAGAGGTATTGGTAGGGTAACATCCTAGGGCCACCATGGAGGTGTTGGTAGAGGTAACATCCTAGGGCCACCTTGGAGGCATTGGTAGGGTAACATCCTAGGGCCACCATAGAGGTATTGGTAGGGTAACATTCTAGGGCCACCATGGAGGCATTGGTAGGGTAACATCCCAGGGCCACCATAGAGGTATTGGTAGGGTAACATTCTAGGCCCACCATAGAGGTATTGGTAGGGTAACATTCTAGGGCCACCATGGAGGCATTGGTAGGGTAACATCCTAGAGCCACCATAGAGGTATTGGTAGGGTAACATTCTAGGGCCACCATGGAGGTATTGGTAGGGTAACATCCTAGGGCCACCATGGAGGTGTTGGTAGGGTAACATTCTAGGGCCACCTTGGAGGCATTGGTAGGGTAACATTCGAGGGCCACCTTGGAGGCATTGGTAGGGTAGCATCCTAGGGCCACCTTGGAGGCATTGGTAGGGTAACATCCTAGGTCCACCATGGAGACATTGGTAGGGGTAATTCTAGGGCACACATGCTTCATCTGATTCACTCTCCAATTCCATGCCAAACATCTCAACACAACTCCCACTTACAGCCCCATTCCCAATGACAAAACAAGCAGATAGTCAGTGTCTTCATTTGGTAATTTGACACGATGAAAGGTTTCTGGGTGCACCTGCCAAATGCTGACCCATGCATAACAGTTGACTAGAGCAGCAATGAGGTCTATCAATCACCTGCTGATCTTGCAGTGTCTGACATCTCCATGTGGTTACAATCAGGTCAACAGACATAATAAACACAATCCTAGGTCATGCTGCTCCACTCTTGGTGCAGTGGGGTAACACAGAGAAACACAGAGAAACACAGACTGGCATTTTTCTTCTACATGCATGACTTTCAAAAACCTTCCCAGTTGCAGACAAGCGCATCTTTGTCAGCTGACAGATGTCTCATCATGTCCTATCCTTGAGGACTAGGCGTGTCACGATAAATCAAAATAATGATATATTGCTATTGGTTAGGACTTAAAGTCAATAAATTGATTGTTAAATCAGTTTCCGATCAATAGTATCGATTTCAGTTAGGAATATGGATAGTTTTGATTGTATTTACCATATCAATAAAATACATGCAACGCTGTTGAAATTCGTTTTTCTTTTGATCATGATAGTAGTATTAATTTACACATGGTAATGTGACAGTTTCTTTTTCTTAAATTATTAGGGTAAAGAAAAAACAAATCATATCTCAAACTTTTTATCTGTTGTTATGGTTATCATCTGTTGGCATGGTTATCCCATTCAAAGGAAACTTCAGTTCCA